CTGGACTCAGAGCAAGGTGGACTCCTTGTCAGGTGCACTTCATGGGTGCTTGCTCCTGCTGCCTTGGCTGACAGTGCTTTTTCCTGGGCATTTTGAAACGTGGGCAGCTTTTTATTTTCAAACACAGACCTCCGCAGGTCTTCATCCAAACTACAGACCAAACAATCATGCAGCATCTCCTTCAGGTTCAGGGAATTGCAGTGCTGTGCCAGGTGCTGTAATTCAGCAAGGTATGTAGAAAGACCCTAGTTACATTTGTAGACATCATTATGTTATTCAACCATTTCTTGTATCGGTCCTATCATTTCACAGAATGGGCAAAACAGAAATGTCTCCGGTTTGGTTCACTGACCTGAAGTACTCTGAAGGAATTCCCACAAAGCCCAAGACACTACTTAGGTGAAGCTCTTATAATTCATGTATTTTATTGTCCACAAAGAACTTTTTTATGTGCCCCAGAAGGATCCCATCCTTATCACCAGTGTTAAATATTACAAAGAACATGGGCAGATTGGCCATGAAGGCCATCAGGAAGAGACCCAGTGGGGTGATGGCCTGGAGGTCTGCCTCCCTGCTGAAGCTTTCCTGATGCTGGAGCAGCCCACACCATGTAGGTGGGAGCCACCACTGCTATGACCTGGTAGACCCTGCAGAGTCAGTGTGAGTTGCTGATGCCACAAGCCACTGGCCCCCGTGTTGCAGGAATCAAAGGCCCTGCCCCCTGCAAAGCAAATGCAAACTGCCAGCCTGGCTTTGCAGGGGCCAATGGTAGGGATGTCAGCCTCCAGGTGGAACCTGGGGATCCCCTGGAATGACAACACATCTCCAGACTATGAAGATCAGTTCTCCTGGAGAAAGTGGATGCTTTGGAAGTTGGGACTCTATGGCATTGTACCCCTGCCCTCCCCAGGCTCCATCCTCAAATCTCCAGAAGTTTCTGAACCTGGATCTTGCAACCCTAGCCCCCATCCCCTGCCAGTGACCGGGGAGAACGGGACAACCCTAGCTGGTGGCCCTGCTCTGTGTGAGGCAGATACAAGCCACCTGCCCTGCTTTTCATGAGCCAGCAGCACAATGCTATGCAAGGAAGACAGGACCTGCCAGCACAAGCTGGTAGCCTCTACCGTGCAAAAGCCAGTGGGAGCTCCTGCCATTGCAAGCTGGCTGCTCCCACTTAGCACAATGAGGATGGTAGCAAACTGGGCAGAAGCTGCAGCAGCCTGTTCCTTCCCTCCGTCTCTGTCAAGAGCTGGAGTAAAACCTATTCTTCCTTTCCCCACTTCCTGTTTTTTCTAAGAGGCTGAATTCTAGCAGCTTCTAGTATATGGCAAGCTAGTACGACCGGTATGCTACAAACTATATTTTTATCCACTCAAAGTACTTCCTGTTTGCTCTTCAGATTTGTGATTTCAGCTTTTCCATCAAGAGCAGCTGCGCATCTATGAGAATTAATCAGTGACTATAGTTCACAGTTTTGATGCCCCTGATTGCAATGCAACCATGTCCACAATCATATCTCAAGCTTTGTCAAACAGTTGCGGAGCACACGCCTACCAAAGTGAATTTAAATTTGTCACTAAGGTCCCGTTCACACTAGGCGATTTGGGCCGGGAGCGGGACAGTTCGGGGGCGGAGCAAACCGGCGCGATCACACCACAACATCTGGGAAGCGTCCTGCTTCCGTCCCTGAACTGGCCCTTTCCCGGGAAAATCCGCTGCAACTTGCAACCACCTACCTTGGTGGTTCATTGGGAAGCTGCGTGGCAAGCTGGGCGTTTGATCGCCGGCGCGTCCTTGCGCCGGCACAACCCCGGCCCGTAGCCGAACTGCGCATGCTCCGACATGCGCAGTTCGGCCG